GTTTACATAGCTGATTTCCAAGCCTTGGAGAGATGGTGAATACCTTCCCTAGGAGAAGCTTCTTGCCAAATAGCCCCCATTCACTGGCATCCAATTCTAATCTTTCCATCAGCTCCTTCCCTGTTATCAAATGGTAACACTGAAATAAATTGCTTCACTAGTAATAGGAAAAATACATAATAAAAAGCAAAGGCTTGGCTTATGAAAAAAGAACATTATGATTATATAGAAGTAACCATATAAGCTGTTATTAACTGTAAGGCTCATAAAACTGCATGAATATCTCAATTATATCACCTCTCCAGATTATATAATAAAACAGCTTAATGAGCTTCATTTTAACTTGACAAGGCTGAATACTGCTCCTCTTTTTAAAAAGTTTTTTATAAAATCACATTCCCTCCTAATACTTGACTTGCAAGCACTCTAAAGACATCATGTACAAAATTAAAAATAAACTTATTTTCCCACCACTGTTGCTTATCACTACCACAGTATCCACAAGATTTTCTTTATAAAGAAATCAGCTTATACAAGCAACTTCTTCCCGTGACAATGGGTGCAATGCTATTTGGACCACTTCTAAAGGCTGGAGATACATGTTTTTTCTAGTTCCCCTAACTTTTTGATGAATTCGTCGCAGTCTTCAGTTCTGGGACTGTGCGAAACCATTTAAATCCCATCTTTAATAAGGAAATACTACAAAGAATGAGCTTGCTTTGCCAGTGTGTCCTAAGAAGCCCAAATTTTTATTATCAGTTGCATGGTGAAGATACATGCAATTACTGCAACTATTTACTGAAAACACACTTGCTAATTCTATAGCTGTCAGTGACATACTATGCTGGGTGCTAGCTGGTGCCAAGGCAGCTGCCAAAAGCTCCAAGTCCAAAAAGGGGAAAGGAGAGGATTAAAGTATTATTCCTGTTTCCAAGAATAAAGTACTGTAAATGAGCTAGTCACTTGCTAGGTAATAATTTTCTGGTGTTTATATGGTAAACTTCTGCAAAGTGAATTGCTGTTGGCATCACCGGCGTTTACAAAGCTAAGACACTTGCCAAAATGCAGCTTCACTGGAAGTATTGTTCAAGTAAACACGGAATGGAAAGTCATTAAGCAAAATGAACAACAGCTAATTTCGCTGTGATCATATCAGGAACATTAAGTATTTTTGTTTAAACTTCAGAACCTGAGGTACAAAAGAGCACACAGTGATCATGGGAAACTTAGCAGCACGTAGAACAAAATCCTGGCTATAGTTCATGTAGGAATGGGGTTATTTTTGCCAACTGAAAAGAATAACATGTCTCCAATGCACACTGTTTTCACTAATACTGTCAAAGAAATATATCCTTAGTCTAGATATACATGAACACATATGCACTTAGTGCTCAAACTCACACTCTATTTTCATTTCTTTTGCGGATAAAACAGCAAAACAAAGTATAAAATTCAGCTTAAGTTTTCTTCACCAAAATAGTTCAACAGTTGGTTTTCTTTCTGCAATCCCTCTGCCCAGAAAACCACTTCTGTAGCTAGGATGGATGGGATCAGCCAACACACATCTGCACAATAAGCAAGCAGAAGAAACTCAGCATTTCCAAGGATGTTCCCAATACTACCTCATGTGAAAAGGAGATTTTGTCCCCAGTTACATATATTTCATAAATATTGGAATCTAGCGTGCAGAAAAGAGTTCACAGGTTCACTGTTTGGTCACAGATGCTCACGAGATATTTTGTAACCAGAGTTGTTCTTATGCCAAAAGCAGTCTACGGGAATCGGGAAATCTTTTTTTTTTTTCTCCTCCCCGCCCCCCATCAGCTACTATGTCAGGCCAACCAGGGTATCTTTACACATAACTTCTGAACACCAAAATATTGATGAAATTGCCATTAGTAGACCAGATTTAAAGACATTAAATTTTGAAAAGCTTCTTTTCTATTCTACAAACCTCAAAATTTAAAATATGTGGAAGGTTTCTCCTACTCTCTCCTTGTTTCAAAAATGTGCAATGTAATGCTGATAGCCAAGATTGCTACTTTATTTTCATTCTTCTACTAAGCTGCTAAAAATGGCAAAAGACTAAAAATGCAGTTCCTATACAACAGCATTTTACAGAACATCCTCAATTTTCAAAGTGTGAAACTGCAACATAAACCCTTGAAAATGCTGACATTTGCTTCCAATAATTAAAGAAGTAAAAGATTTTTTTCAAATATCTGGACACCATTCATCCCACTGCATTTTGCTGATTAAAAGAAAAAAAGGCAAATGAATGACGAGTTCAGTATTTAGAGCCCCTAGAACTATCCTATAGTCTTTTATGTTTATAAAGAAAAAAGGTGAGGCTTTTGGGGGGGGGGGGGGAAAGGGCTTAAAGA